ATAAGTTATATAGGAGACATTATACTCAACTTCTTTTAATAGTATTATTTCAAATCATTCTCTCTTAGACATTTTCCTCACATAAAATTGCTCACAACTTTAAAATAAATGCTCCTTATCAGCTTGTAATTAACTCTATTCGATTGAGTGTAAAAAAAGAATACAAATTGGTAGATAACTTTAAATTTTAATTTATTAAACGATTGTTGATTCTTGTTTACATTTATTAAAAAATATTAAAGTAATTATTTTTTAAGAAACTCTGGTGTGATTGACAATAACGGAAGTCCTTTTTCAGAATCAGCATCATAAATTTATCAAAAAGCTATTAATTTCATGAAGTCTGACAAAAAGTATAAAAATATATACTAGGTATATTGAGTTAAAAGATTTGCAAGAAGAAAAGGAAAGGAAATATAATTATCAAACTTACAAGTACGATAAAGATACCAGATGTATAGGAAAATAAAAATTTTTAAAATTTTATAATAAGGTTGGAATTATATATTTGAATTTCTGTAAATAATGTTAATGGCAGTACTTTCTTCTGTGTATTTTGTTTTGTGGCTGTGGTACCTGTCATGATTTTCAGCTATGAGGATGGAATAGAAATGGCAGAAGAGGAATGCTATTTATCTGAAGAAGAAAATTTAATTTCATCCAGTTAATTTAAATCGTGAAAAAAAAAAAACAATTTCTAATATTTTAAAACCTGCCACTATTATTGTAAATATGACTTTCTTACTAATTCATATTTTTTTTCTTTTAGGTTCCAATACTTCCAAGTTTCAACAGGTAGACGGAAACAATATTTAAAATAATTTTGTTGGTTTGTAGGAAAAATGAAATTTTAGTTTTAAATAAAAGTAATTCGAATTTTAGCTGACTTATTATTTAAATTTGCAGTTTTATTGCTCTAAAAATTCAAGCACCTTAGACAACTATCTTCTAAAAGTATCAGTTCCCTCAAATAACTTTTCCTTACTGTGGAATTTAGATAACTGTTATTTCTAGATGATTTAATTCAATCTATTAAAATTACAGAAGAATTATGCATTTGAAACTTTCTTTTATAGCTTAACAAAAGAAGCAATTACTGTTGAAGGTTTAATATTAAAAACTTCAGGTTGATAAATGAAAATCTCTACTAGTGAAAAAATGTAATGATATACATTATTCTTCATATAATACATATAATATCTTTATATATACAGTAGGGAACCGATTATCCGGAACGATCGGGACCATCGATATTCCGGATAACTGATTTTTCCGGTTTTCTGAATCGCTGCAAAAACCCTGTTTTTTTTATTGTTAAACCCA